GAGACAGACAGACAGACAGACAGACAGACAGACAGACAGACAGACAGACAGACAGACAGACAGACAGACAGACAGACAGTGACAGGCTAATGTATGCTAATCGACCGAATTCGTTCGTCCGGAACATGCCACGGGCCAGTAGCGTCAGGCTAATAATCGACCGAATTCGGTCGAGTAACCTGACGCTAGCCATCCGAGATCGGGCGACTAGCCCCTCCGTTTACTTTTTGTTCCAGTATGAGTTTTACAGCACTTACAACACAATTAGAATCTAGGTCATATTTTTTTTTTATGTGAGGCAGCGTGGTGGAATCAGGCTCTCGTCAATTTTTGGACATGTAGAGTTATTGGTATCATCTTAAAGCTTGTTCACTTTTCTTTATTTGGATGAAAAAAATATCCATTTATCTTGAATACAAGTCGAGATATTTGCGAAAGAAGGAGGTGGGGGTCACCTGTTTTCAAAAGTAAAATTAGTGAGAAAATGCCCGCCAAAGATTAGTTATTTACTTAGCTTAACAGTGCGGGTAGCAGAAAATTTACATTTTTGTGCCTTTAATCAACGTTTTTCAGAAAAATTCACACAGAAATGAGTTCTTTAAAGGGCATGAAAGGTGTTGAGCCAAAAAACAAAACTTCGATTAAAAAAAAAAGAATCACAAACCTGCGGAAAAATGCAAGTTTCTTCATTTTGATTATTTTGACAAGAGCCTGATTCCGCCACGCTACCTCACATATATATTATTAGTGCCGAAGACTAGAGGTGTTACAAGAGAGTAACAAATATAAAAAAGAGTTAAAATAAAGACGATAGATGTTTGATAGGAGACGAAGGAGCAAATCACACCATTGCACCGGCTAACTACCCACGACAGGCCAGAGGCATAGAAAACATTTCCTGTCACTAAAAACTTTATGTGAGACGTGCTAACTAAATGAGTTACTTCTCGCTGTCCACATATGGAGATATTGGCCAAAAATCGACACTTGGGTCAAATTTGTAGATTTCTTATTGATGTCATATTTTTAGTACAACACGCCCTTTAGGATTTCATACTTATAAATAGTAATAACTTCACCTATAAGCGTGATGTATCTATTTCCATGGAGATAAAATTGGAGAAGTTATTTATTTTGTCAGCACGCTTCACAATTTTTTTAGCACAGGGTTTCGTTTGATGATTAACTAAAAGATAAAGTGTAAACGAAAGATCAAGCTACAACATTAAAAATGGTGGACACTTGTTTCGTGGGGGGG